CAGGGAGACAGAGACACAAGGAGACAGAGAGAGAGACACACATAGAGGGACAGAGACAGGGAGACAGAGACACAAGGAGACAGAGAGAGACACACACATAGAGGGACAGAGACAGGGAGACAGAGACACTGGGAGACACAGAGAGAGAGACAGAGACAGGGAGACAGAGACACAAGGAGACAGAGAGAGAGACACACATAGAGGGACAGAGACAGAGACAGAGACAAACAGAGGGACAGAGACAGGCAGACAGAGACAGAGACACAGGGAGACAGAGAGAGACAGACATAGAAAGACAGAGACAGAGAGAGAGACACACATAGAGGGACACAGACAGGGAGACAGAGAGAGACAGACATAGAAGGACAGAGACAGGGAGACAGAGACACAGAGACAGAGACAGGGAGACAGAGAGATAGAGACAGGGAGACAGAGATCAGAGACAGAGAGAGATAGACACAGGGAGATGGAGAGAGAGACAGAGAGACAGAGACAAGGAGACAGAGATCAGAGCAGAGACAGAGAGAGACAGAAATAGAGACATAGAGACACAGAGACAAACAGACAGAGAGGGACAGAGACACAGGAATACAGAGAGAGACAGAGTCACAGAGACAGAGACAGGGAGACAGAGAGAGAGACAGACAGACACACAGAGACAGGGAGACAGAGAGACAGAGACAGAGAGACAGAGACACAAGGATACAGAGTGAGAGAGAGACAGACAGAGAGAGACAGTGAGACAGACACCAGGAGGCATAGACAGAGACAGAGACAGGAAAACAGAGAGACAGAGAGAGACAGAGACAGGGAGACAGAGATCAGAGAGAGAGACAGAGACACAGAGACATACAGAGACAGAGAGGGACAGAGACACAGGGTGACAGAGAGAGATACACAGACAGGGAGACAGAGAAAGACAGAGACAGGAAGACAGAGACAGAAAGAGACAGACATAGACAGAGACACAGGGAGACAGAGAGACAGAGTCACCGAGACAGAGAGAGACAGAGTCAAAGACAGGGAGAGAGAGATCAGAGACAGAGAGGGACAGAGGTCAGAGACAGAGAGACATGAACTAGAGACAGAGTCTTAGTCTGCGGGGCTCCATGACCACATCCCGCAGACCTGGTGGCTTGTAAACAGGAGACATTTGTTCTGTCCAGCAGGCTGGGCATCTGAGGTCCAGGCTCGGGAGGATCCAGTGTCTGGCGAGGACTCCCCGTGGTTCCCAGACGGCATCCCCACGTGCTGGACGGGGCGAGGGGGTCTCTGGGGACTCTTATAAGGCACTGATCCCATCATGGGGGTCCGCCCTCACGACCTCATCACCTCCCAAAGGCCCCCCTCCTGATACCACCCCTCTGGGGGCTATGCTTCCAGATAAGAATCTGGGGGACACAGGCATTCAGACCATCACAGAGACAGAGACGAAAGAGAGAGAGACACAGAGACAGAGACACGGACGTAGAGACACAGAGAGGGAGAGACAGAGAAGCAGAGAACAGGCAGAGACCTGGAGACAGCCTGTGGGGTGGCGGAGGAGGGGGAGACTCCTCACAGCCTCGCGGCTGAGGGGGCAGAGGAACGGCCCGCTGACCGCTCTGGGGGGACGGCAGGATAGCCCACCAAGCCCGCGAGCTCCCCATCCTCGGACATGCCGGGTGTCACTGTGGCCCGGGTGCAGGCACACGGGGCCCCGGTGTGGGTCTCTCACACCCCTTCTGTCTTAGAACTCCCGTGACCAGAGCAAGGAGGCGACGCTGGGGCTCCTGCGGGCCACACACGGCCTTGCCAAGCTGACCGCACGCCAAGTGGCCACGGCCTTCGACCTGTCCTGGTTCACCTCCGCCTGCCACCTGGGAGGTGCGTAGCCCCCGCCGGGAGCCGGGTGCAAGAGGCTCTGAGTGTTTCTTTTCTTGAATTCAGTCACGGGCGCCTCACCTGCTAATAACACTTGCAAAACGGGTTCATCTCTGCACGAAGGGCCCAAATTTGGCCAGGGCGGGTGTGGGGGCTCCACCAGATACTCCCAACGGCTAGGAGGTCCTGGGGATGGCCCTTCCTGGGGGCTGCCGAGTTGGGGAGAGAACCACGGAACCCTCTATCCCCCTCTCGGCAGGTCTGCTTATGCCCCACTCATCCTCCACCCCAGCCTGGCTCAGTTCTTACCCCAAGACAGCAGACAGAGGAGCAGATGCCTGCCCAAGAGATGTAGTGGGATCAGGGTCCTGAGAGGACTCCTGAGCCGTCACCTTGCATTTCCCCATCCTCTCTGCACAGCCTTCTCCTGGTGGCCAGAGTGGCTGCTGTGGTGCCAGCCATCGCACCTGCATTTCTGCAGCACCAAGGAGAAGGGAAGAGCACACCTCTCCCCACTGCTTGGCTCTCAGGATTCCCCAGTGAGTCTGCACGCACCCCCCGCTCACCCGCCCTGGGCCAGCCCCAGCTTGTGAGGTCCTGACTCTGGGAGGCTGCAGCCTGCGTACGACACCGGCTGGCTTATTCCCCAGCACTGGCCCCAATGCCATGTCCTTGAACAAAGTTCAGCTCTGGGGACTCGCCAACGGTTTTGCCAGCGCTGGGAGGCTCGGGCCCCAACATCTGTGTTTGTGTCCTGCAGGGTGCACGGGCGCCCTGGCCCACGCGCTGGCCCGGGAGTACCCGCGTCTCCAGGTGACCGTGTTTGACCTCCCCGAGGTCCTCGAGCATGTGGCGTGTTTCCAGCCCGAGGGACGGCAGACGGAGCAGATCAGGTTCCTGCCAGGTGACCACGCGTCCGTCTCTGCCAGGCGTCAAGTGTGGCTGGCCGTGTTTGTGTCTTATATAGAGCGGACAGGGGTGTGTGTCCACGTGGGCAGCGGTGTGTGTCCGTGTGTGTGCGCCACCGACAGACCGAGTGAGGCCACAGAAGCCACAGCAGGAAGGCCGTGGGTCAGACACGAAGAAGAACTGCCAGGTGGCAGCCATGAGCACGGGACGGATTGAAGGACACTCTTACCATCCTGCAACCCGTCACCACCGTGGCCTGGCCTGTGGGCAGATGTGCTGGGAGTCCCGACCTCCAGCCCCGGGACCCCTCCTGTTTCTCTAGTTTAAAAAAACAAGGGCAGCTGTCCTGCTGGGGACTGAACCGTGTCCCCCCAAATTCATATGTTGGAGCCCTGACCCCAGCGCGACCGTATCTGGAGACGTGAAGGTGAAATGCAGTCACAGGGTGCGTCCTGGAGACCAGACGTCTGAGATGAAGGGGTCGCAGGGCCGCGCTCCCTCCACAGGCTCCAGGGGAGGGTCCTTCCCGCCTCTTCCAGCTTCTGGGGCTCCAGGCGTCCCTGGGCTGGTGGCCGCCTCCCTCCATCTCTGCCTCCGTCTCCATGTGGCTTCTCCTCTGTGTCTGTGTCTCTCCTCTTCTGTCTCTGATGAGGACACTGTCATTGGATTTAGGGCCACCCTCCTCCGGGACGCCCTCATCTCCATCCTTCACTCAATCACATCTGCAAAGACCCTGTTTCCTAATAAGGCCCCATTCCTGGTTCCCAAGGGTCACCACTTGAATATGTCTTTTTGGGGGTCACAGTTCTCCCCACGACAAGCGGGGTCTCTGCTTCAGCATCCCAGAGACCGGCCCAGCCCCTCTTCCATCAGCTGGAGGACCCGTTCTTGTGCCCTGACGATTTATTCCATCTTCTTTTCAAACCAGGTGACTTCTTCACAGAGAGCCTCCCGGACGCCGACCTCTACGTTCTGTCCAGAATCCTCAGCGACTGGGAGGACGACAAGGTCCACGAGTTGCTGAGCCGCATCTCGGGCAGCTGCAAACCAGGTGAGGCCACGGCATCTAGTTTCCGCTTTTAGAAGACAGTTTTCATTTAAACAAAAAAGGAGTAAATTTTACCAAGACAGTGAGTCGCCCCCTCCACACTCTGGTGCTGTGTTTCCCGTCTCCTTGAAGACGGACTTGATTCCTAGCTGGTGCCACAGTTTCTGAACTTCTTGGTGTCTGGACCCCGACCTGTGGTTTCGAGGGTCACCTGGGTCCCCAGAGCCTGCGACGAGGTTTGGGGGCTCCCGTCCGCACACCTCCTCCTGGACGACCCCCGGCCATGTCTCTCCCGGGGCCCCAGTGGGCGCAGGCTCTCCCTTCTCCTCCTCTGATTTCCCCCCAGCTGCTCTGTGGTCCCCGGGCTGTCTCCACGTGGTCAGGGCCGACGGGGGTCCTCAGGCGTGGATGCCCCGTCAGCCTGAGAGGCTTGGGGCGAGCAGACAGGACAAGGCGAGGGCCTGGACACAGAGGCCCGTGTTACCCCAACCCACCTGTACTGCTCAGGACTCTGCCTACAACAGACTCACAGGACGTGTGTATATATATGTATACAGAGAGAGGTTTATTATAAGGAGTTGGCTCATGCGACTGGGGAGGCTGACAAGTCCCGGCTGCAGACCCAGGGAAGAGCTGTCACAGCTGGAGTCTGAGGCCGTCTGGAGGCATAGTTCCCTCTTCCTTGAGGAGCTACAGGTCTTTTTCCTCTCGAGGCCGTCAACTGATTGGGTGAGGCCCACCCACATTATGGAGGGCCATCTGCTCTACTCAGACTCTACCCATTTCCACGTTAATCTCATCTAAAAACACACTCACAGACACACCCAGAAGAACGCCTGAACACACATCTGGGGACCGTGGCCCAGCCAAGATGATCTGTACAACTCACCATCACACCAGCCCCCACACCAAGCCCCTCCCACAGGGGTCTGACCCCCTGCAAGCTGGGCAGGGCATGTCTGGGTTACCCAAGGCTCCTGGCTCAGGTGCAGGGCCCCGTGGGGGGCAAAGGGACCGTTTGGTACTGGACTGGAGAACATAGAGGGGGTCCCCTTTGCCGACAAGGGGTTCTCCTGGACCCAAGAGGTGCAGCAGCCCCTGAGCCCCTGTTCTCCCAGGGGACGAGCGTGGTCACCCGGGACTCACAGGACACACGGGAACCAGGGAGCAGGGCAGCCACAGACCCGCCCAGAGTGGGCACAGGTACACGTCAGCCTGTAGCCAGCACAGAGCCAATGTTTCCGGACCCCAGGGCCCAGGAACGAGCCTCCCCTTCAGGAGGGTGGAAACCAAGTCCCGCGCCAGCAATCGGCCCCAGAAACGCACGGGGGTCCTCAGAACCAGCCACGGAGCTCGAGGGCCGCAGAGCCACACTGCCCACACAGGGAACAGGGATTTCCACGGGTTCCCAAATCACCCGTCCCGTCTGTGGATGGAAAATGCCCGTCGACATTTATGGCCTCAGAAACGTGCCTGCACGTCCCCGTTTCTTAGGGACGTCCTGGAGACATGCTGGAGGGAAATGAAGACAGAAACCCAGAAACCGGAAGCTAGGGCTGCTCCCGCCCCGGGAAGGAATGACATTGTGGCGTCCTGGGGGTAGGCGGGGTCGGGGCCTCGAGAGCCAAATCCCCACCGACCTCGGGAGACAGTCGGGTCACGTCGGGAGAGTTGGTTCTAAGCGACCTTTATACTGTGAAGGGTTGGGGGCGCAGCCTTGGACCTCTGACCTGCTGGCTAGACCCACTGTCACATTTCCAGGAGTCCTGCCGAGTGTCAGCCTGCAGCTGGTCCAGGAGGAGAAGTTGCCCCACAGAAATGGGGAGACCCCGGGAACCCCGGCTTCCCTCCCCCACAGCTGGGCTCAGGTCACCTGCACCCGGGGGGCCGGGGGGTCGCAGGGGAGAAAGGAAAGTGGCCTCTTTATGTAAAATAGGGCTTTTGGAGCCCATGGAGATAACCTCGTGTGCACACACACAGTCACACTTTCTGTTCTCCATCCTCACGAGGATGTTCCCCACCAAGGAGCCAGCTGTTCTGACCCCCTATGAGCAGCTCCGCCCTCCGCCCCGGAGGTCACTCAACTGATTCCCACAGAAGGGGAGGCCCTGAGGGCATCCAGCAGGCGGCGGGGCTGCGGCTGTGTCCCGTGATCAGAATTCCTCACGTGTTTCCACAGTGAATTCCTTTCGTGGAGCCCCGGCCGGTCCCTGGCCTGGACCAGGCACCCCAGGCTCTGTCCTGTGATTCTGTGTCTCTCTGTCTCTGTCTCCTTCTCTGTCTCTTTATATCTCTGTCTCTGTCTCTCTCTCCTTCTCTGTTTCTCTCTGTCCATCTCTCTGTCTCCCTCTCTCTGTCTCTATCTCCACCTCTGTCTCTGTCTTGCCTTCTCTGTCTCTCTCTCTCCTTCTCTATCTCTGTCTCTGTTTCTCCTTGTCTCTCTCTCTGTCCATCTCTGTCTCTCCTTTTCTGTCTGTCTCTCTTTTTCTGTCTCCCTGTCTCTCTCTCTCTCCATCTCCATCTCTGTCTCTCTCTGTGTCTCTCTGTCTCTGGCTCTCTGGCTCCCCAGGGTGGCGGGCACTGCCTTCAGCCTCTCCCCCATAATTCTGCCCTCCCGTCCCCCTCTAAGTGCTGGCCGTCCTGTCCCCGGGGACGCTGCCTCTAGCGTGCTCTGCTTCTGCCCTTAGGCGGTGGCCTCCTGCTGGTGGACACGGTGTGGGACGAGGAGGGCCCGGAGAACGCGACGGTGGACGAGGCGAGGCGGGCGGCGCGGAACGGCCTGCGGCGGGCCCTGGACGGGCTGGTGTGGCCCCCGCGCGCACAGAGGAGCCTGGCCGAGTACCGGCGCCTGCTGCAGCGACACGGCTTCCGGGACGTGGCGGAGACGCGGGCGGGGGACCAGCTGCACGTGCTCCTGGGCACGCGGCCGTCCCCCCGGGAGGCTGTCCCCACTCGGCCCCTGAGGGGACGCCTTCACTGCAGAGATGCCTGAACGTGGGGGGTCAGAGCAGATTAAAGACGCCAGAAGCCCCCATCTCCGAGCTCGTTTGTGGGGTCTGAAAATGGGGCGCTGCCTCGGGGGATGGCCACGGGATCCACGCGGGCCGGGGAGGGCGGGTCCACGGTAGCCGTGAGTCTCGGGGACAAACCCAACCAGAGCAGGTGTCAGAGGTGAGAGGACGCGTCTAGAAGCCCCCAGAGAGACGGGAAGGCTGGGAGACAGGGCGGGCAGCGTGGACCCTCACCCCTGCCTCCCCGCCTCCCGCCAGACGCTTCAGCCCACCTCTCACGCTGGCAGCTCACGTGGGATCCGGGCGAGACGGCTGTTCACCGCAAACGTCCCCAGCATACCAGTGGAGACGCAGGTCTGTCTCACAATTCAGCAACTTACCTGTTTTCTTAAAGGAGCAAGCTTGTGCAGGTAACTCTGTATATTAGGTCATAGGAAGTATGCAGCAACTTACAGGTTATTTACAAACATAATTATTATTAGAAAACATTATTGTCAGAACTATGATTTCTAAAATAAATTCTGTACAAAGGAAATTATTAGGAAAAAACAACCGACTGTCAGATGGGGGCAGCTAAGACCACCATAGGTTCTTAGACAGGTACCTAACTTACAAATACAGAGGCATTTATATAAATTTTCTCTGTGTAATACATTTTAAATAAATAGAACATATAAATGACGTATGTTTTATATATAAATGTATAGGGATATATATTTGTAATTTACATACTATTATAATTGTAGAAATACCATTATAAATTACACATTATACTTTACATATAATTTTACATCTAGTTTTATAAGTACTATTATGATTTTTATACTATTACAAACTATATAATTATACTATAACACATATAATTTTGGATGGACTTCAAATTTTTTTTAAAAAGCACAAATGTGTCTCCCCGGGAGGCAGGACGTGCAGCATGGATCACGCAGGGGCTGAGCCATCCGGTGTGGCGCCTGTGGCTCTCCAGAGAGCAAAGCAGAGACGCTCACGGCCCCTCTGTCCCTGTCTCCTAGGTGGACCTGCAGAGCGAGTGGCCAGGAGAGCCGAGCGCCTCACCGGCCCCGCCCCGCCTCCCCGGGCTGGTGCACGGCTGCTGTGCTGGGTGACAATGACCCGGGCACCTTGGCCACCGCAGTCAGCCTCCTTCCTTTCCCGGGGGAACAGGCCGAGTCCTTCGGGTGCCCCTGTGGTCCCTGTGTTCAGCCAGGCTGAGCAGAAACCTGGGGCGTCCCCGGTGGGAACAGCGACTGGGGTCCAGGGCGCATCGCACACCTGCTCTGCAGCCCTCGGGGTGCCCGGAGCTGTCTCAAGGTCACCAGGTTTCTCAGAAGCAACCAAGCGTCCATCTCAAGGTCACCCGGTTTGTGCCTCTAACCAGAGGTGCCAGCTCCCCTGCCCGCGGCACCCGAGCCCCCCCAGCCCTGGACGCAGGGAGCCGGATGAGCTGGGGGCAGCGTGGCTGTGCAGTCAGCCCAGACCCCCGCACCCCAGGAGTGGCTGACCCCGAGGTCGCACACCCACAACTGTGCCCTTGAACCAAGGACCCACCCACCCGAGGGAGACCCCCGGGCCTGACAGTGAGGGCCCGATGACACGTGAAAGCCGACGGAGGGTCCATGGGGTCCCCAGACCGCCCACTCTCCCTGTCTCTGCTAGACTTGCAAAGAAGTGAGAAAATATGAGTCCTCCACGACCCGTGTTTGCATTTATTAGAACTAACACCCAAAAACAGTGCTTCTAGGAAATTGTGGGAAAGTGAGAGTGTGTGTGTGTGTGTGTGTGTGTGTGTGTGTGTGTGTGGGCCCACACACAGGTGTTTATTCTTTAGGAGACAAGATTTCAAGGTTGGAATTCTGGGCTGGGCAACCTGACCGGACCCCCGCCCTCCAGGCAGAATTCATTCATTCATTCATTCCAAAAATATTTCAGCACACACTGCATACCGCACAGTCTGAATGCATTACTGGCTGGAATATCGGGGGGCGGGGATGGGGGAAGGAGCTGCGACAAGAGACTGTCAGGACCACAGCTGAGTCCACAGCGCCCCGCCCCTCCCCTGTCCCCCGTGGGTCCCCATCTTTCGCTCTCCCTGTGCAGCCTCATGACCCCCCACTAGACCACGTCACACAACGCAGGGCTGGAAGGAACTGCCTGTCGACTAGGACAGACTCCCAGGGCCCAGCTCACAGCACGTGCCCCCCAAATCCCTCCTCACCTCGATGACTCACCTCCAGCCGTCAGCTGAAACCCTGAATCTTCTAAGTTGCCTCCCCCGTGTCTTTCAATCACCCAGCCGCTTCTCAGATGCTCTAGGGTGCAGATTCAATCAGATCACCTGGTGGCCCGGCCACAGCTCATCTCACTCCGTCAGAGCCCTTAGGGGACGCCACCGAGAGCTGGGTCTTGTCTCCCCACTGCTGGGGTCTTGGAACTTAAACCCTTGGAGGAGACGCTCCCCGCCTCCGCTTCCCACTCACCCCACCTCTCCCTTTCCAGGCCCAGGTGCGCAGTCTACCTGGGCTCTCCCCTCCCAGGTACATGGAGCTCTCGGTTTCCGGCATGCACAGCCCCGCCGCCCTCCCGGGTCAGCCCTAGTGGGACAGGGGGGCCATGACTCTCACAGTCTCACACACACACACACACACACACACACACACACACACACACACACACACACACGGTGTCTGTGTCTAATGCCCACGGGCAACACTTTCTACAGAAGAACACATTCTGAGCCCCAGTCAGCGATGACGGGAAGAGACCACGTTCATTCATTCACTCATTCACTTGTTCATTCGAGAAGCATTCCCCCAGCACCGTCTGGGGGCCAGGCACAGGTGGCCAGGGACCCCCGGGCGCTCAGAGGAACCAACACAGGTCACACTGGGCTGAGCGGTGGGGTGGCGGCCAGGAATGCAGGCGGAGCTCGGGGAGGGGACGTTCCCACGCCTGGGGCAGGGGAGCGGGTCACTGAGTTAACGGCCCCACCAGCACGGGAGGAATGTTCCAGTGTCCCGTGACACAGGGTCTGAGACAGAAGCACTGGTTCCAGGGCCTCACCCGCAGCCCCGGCCTGAGCAGATGCCAACCAGCTGGATCCTGAAGGAGCAGCTTCAGCTGGCTGGCCCCCGCTAGCCGTGACAAGCCTCGCCAGGGTCCCTCCCCATCACTGGGGTCCCTCCCAGCCCAGCGAGCTGATCCCGGGAACAAATGAACAAGAGATGCTTTTCTCCTCTGAGACACGGCCCCCTGAGCAGACATCCCGTCCCCCCAGACCCCATGGCCGCCCTCTGTCCTCCACTCCAGAGCCCCACGGGGGCTGCGGGCGTGGACCTCCAGGGACTTTCTCTGCCCCCCTGTCCCGGTGAAGCCTCAAGAACATGCCAGAACCTCCAAGGCCCTCCCCACAGCAATGCCCCCAGGGCCAGACGCTGACACTCCTCCCCCCCACAGCTGGACCACCCTCTGCACCTGGGCAGCCCCAGGCACTGCCCGTCCCCTGCCTCTCCCTGGAGGTCAAGACCAGACGCAGGAAGCCATGGTCAAGGACACAGGGGACTGGGGAAATCACCGGCTCCGAGTGCCCGAGGCTCTTCTGGGTGCTTCCCAGGCCTCCACCCACCCGTGCACCCAGTGCCAGGGGGGTTTTACCTGCTGGTGGGGACGCAGGAGACCAAAAAGAAGCAAAAGGGGCAGGGAGAAAAATGAGAAAGGGAGGGAAGAAGACAGAGACAAACAGAGCGGGAGAAAAGAAACGAGATTCTGGCTCCGCAGTTGCTACTGAAAAGCTATTTGGCGGTCCTTACACCGTGTTCAGTCCGTGACGGTTACCACTTGTATCACTTAGTTACAATTCACTAAAAAGTTTGCAACATTTCAAAACACCTCGGCCTCGGGAGCGTCCCTGTGCATGTCTGCGTGTGCACGAGCATGTGTGCAAACGCATGTGTGTACATGAACTTGTGTGCACGTGTGAGGGTGTGTACACGTGTGCATGAAGGTGTGTGCATGTGCGCGGGAGTGAGCGTGCGCACGCGTGGCGTGTATGCACGAGCATAAGCGTGAGTGCATGCGTGTGAGTGTGAGCATGTGCCGGGCAGCACACGCCCTCCTGCCCCTCCCGGAGCCCCCTCGTCGCAGCGCCCGGAGCGCCACCCGGAGTCCCGTCATGGGGTCAGGGTTCCGGGGCCCCCGCGGGAGCTGGGGTCGTCCCGGGGGGCTCGCGCAGGCCCCGCGGACGGATAGGAAGAGGGGCCGGGGTCTCCCGGGCAGGGGGCGAGCACGCCCTGGAGAACCGGGCCGCGGGGGCACGTCTCGGGGGGAGCGAGTGTAGGGGGTCGGGGCGGCCTGGGGGTCGAGGGTCCGGGGGGCGGGGGGCTCGGCCCCCTGCTCTGGCCCTGCGGGTCACGGCCGGGGTCCGGGGGTCAGCGGGGCGAACGCGGAGGTCACGACCAGGGCTCGGGGGTCGGCGGGGCAAGCCCGGGATCCG